AAAATATAATAAAAAAGTATCAAGTTATTTTAGAACCATTATTCCAAGCATGCTCTAGTTCTTCTTATGAGCAAGCCAGCTCAAAGGTAGAGAAGTCTTCTGCATTAAATTATGCTATAAAACAATACCAAGAAGCACAATTTTATCGAAATTGGCTTGACCCATTAAAAATAAACTTTTTACAAATAAAAGAACCCAACAATTATGCTACTATTTTATGTAAAGTATATGATTTAGAGATACCCCATGCATTACTTGATACAGGTTCAGACAGATCGCATATTTCTGAAAATATCGCAAACCATTTTATAAAATATTTTGGGTTAAAAATAGACAGAAAAAAGGTTTATAGACTAACAGGGGCAGTAGGAGAAAAACATTTCATTGGATCCTTTTCTGATATACCCATTACTTTAGGTATTGGAAATAATACTTTAACAATTTCAGATGAGTTTTCTGTTTTACCAACAGAAAAAGATAGCAATGGCAAGGATATATCACTATTTATTCTTGGTACAAGATAGCAGCATCGGGCTGGCTAGGAGCCTATAGTAAAAGGTGAGTTTATAGTATCAGCTAATGGAAAAAGTATTACTATTCCACTTTTAGTTTATAATAAGGGAGAAACCGATATCCTAAAAAAAATATATAAGTTATGATGAACTTGAAAAAATGTTATTTGATACTCTCAGAGCTAAAGAGATTCTTACCAATGCATGTGAGAAGTTTTTATCATTCTATGATGAGCTGGTCTATCTACTTAGCTAGTATAGATTTAAGTTTGGCTATATTTTTTTTATCTCGAATAGCTTTTTTTTCATAAAATGCAATTAGATCCCTATCTTTCTCGACAAAGTCAAGAGGTGGAATCTGATCATTAAGATCAGAATTTTCTTTTTTCAAATCCCCTTGATCTTTGATCTGCGGGGAAATAATATTTTCTCTACCTTCCTCGACAAAGTCGTGAGCCAAAATTGGTTGATCCCAAGCAACCCTATTTTTTTCCTCGCCTCTCCAAATCTGATAAATATGTTTTTGTGATATGCTATATTTTTCTTTTAGCTCATTCAAAACTTTAGTCCTTGGCATATTATTACGACATTGAATAATAAAATTATAATCAGCTAGAGATAAAGAAGGAGCATCACATCTCATGCGTTGTCTAAGCATGGTAGTATTTTTATATCTAATATCTAATATATTATTTCGAAATAATTTATTAAATTGGATATACAAGAAAAATATATGGGGGTGAGTCAATAGAAATCAAGCAAATTGTTTTTATTAAAATTTTTTTAAAATTTTATATACCAATAACTTAACCAAAACTTGATCAAATTTAATAAAACTTTTTTAAAACAAATTCTATAAGTTTGTAAAATTTATTTAAAAAAATTTTTATTAAATTTGATTAAGATTTTGTTGAGTTATTATTGTTTAAAGTTTTTAAAAAATTTACTTAGAAAAAATTTGCTTGATTTCTATTGACTCAACCCCATATTATACCAGTTATACCGGATATACTGGATAAATCGGATATATCAGATATACTGGATAAATATATAATATACTAGAAAAAAATTCTGGAAGAATCAGATAAATAGGATATATAGGTTAAATAGGAGGTTTCGAATAAACCAGAAATATATATTATTTCAAATATATCTTTATTATACAAAAAGCCCATGACCAATGTCTATACCTTCTTGCAATTTTTGTAAGCTGACTCAGTCAGATATATTTTTTTCAAGCTTGTGAAAAAAACAGAGCAAAAGCTTAAAGAAAAATTATATTCTGCTCTTAGATCTAAGGCTGAAATTAATGATCTTAGCGAGAAGTTGCTAACTAAATATTTAGAGCAAGAGAAAGAGCTTCAGCAATCTTTTTTCTCATTACATTCGAAAAAAGAAAATTCAAATTGTAGTAGGTGCCTCTGTAAAAAATTTATTTCTGAAAATTTGGGTAACAAATCAATTCTGCCTTCGAGTGATTTATCACAAGAAGGCAAAGTAAGGCTTTGCGAGGAGGCAGATGATATTTATTATTTCAAGCTTGCTCCTGCCTTCTCGTGATAAATCATAAATTAAACTGCGACATTCTGTGATCATTCCCTGATTGTGCATATGAATTTAATAAAATTTCCATGATCGTTCCGTGATCATTCTGTGATCGTTCCCTGATTGTACATATGAACTTAATAAAAGTTCCATGATTGTTCCATGATTGTTCCATGATCAATCTCTCAATGTTACATAAATGTCATATGATAACTAAAAATAGCAATAATACGAAATTGGGTATGTATAAGGTTTTGTGATACTTTCCTGTTGAATTTTTTCTCACGTCGATTTTTTTTATTAACGAATATACGAATGATGCCTAGACCCTTTTCCTTACTTTATATGATCCTGTGATAAGAATGAGACTTAAAAAGGTTATAAGGGTAATACATATAATATTTTTAATCAGTAGTTTTATACAAATTCATATGTGCAGAAACTTGTAGTTTTCACCATTTCTGAGATCGTCAGATCTAAACCTACCTTAAACGATCATTGATTGTAAGGGGTTTAATTTCATCTAAAAAATGACAAAATAGATTCAGTATTTGGAATCTATGACCAAGTGGAGTTTCTTTGTTAAGTGTGATCTGACATTGTGTTAGAGTAACGTAATTACTAAGCTTGTGATTTTTCTTCTGGCAGGTTCACTAGATTTTCCCATATGTGCTTCTACAAGTGTATTTCCTAGCTGTCTGGCATATTTGAAAGAGGGTTTGTGGATCTGCTTAATAAATTTTTTTTCATCTTGCTCATTATTCATAGCCATAAGCTTGATGTCTTGATATTTATGAACATTCTCCATAGTTTTGCCATTTACAGCATTATTTTTGAGTTTGAAAAAGTTACTAAAAAATGTGTTTCCAGCTTTTTTAGCCTCATTACGTTTTTCTGTATTAAAGGCTATATATGGGGCAAGCCAGTTAGTTTGGTCGAATGATAGGATTTCTGTAACTTCATCAACTATTATACCCAATTCTACATAGTATTAAAGCTCTTGGTAATGGATAACATAATCTTTTTGTGGACCAAGATGGGGAACTAATTTTTTTGTTGCTAAAAACCGTCCATTATCCAAGTCCTCTACAAGCTCTGTAGTATAGGAGCACAACATATTTTTTTTTACAGCCATATTCTCTATGGCTGGGGCTAAATCACTTAAATAGTCATGGGTCTTTAGAGAGAAGTGTGCCTTAATATTTAGATAATATCCTTTTTTGTTATTTGATTCGGTATTAAGAATTTTATTAAGATATTTCTTTTGCATTTCAGGATTCTTAAGTAAATATTTCTGACTTGCCTCATATTGATAATTTCTTATAGGCAAATACTGACTCATGGCCTAGCCATAAAGATTTGTTGCGTCTACATATGAAATCTATGATGTAGATTTGGATAGGTTAAAGGCCTTACCCATCTTAGGATTGTTGGCTTTGAAATATCGTTGACAGGCTATAGCTATGCCTCCACATTTGGCCTTTTCTATGAAATCATGCATAGTTATATTTGTAAAGAGCTCGATCTTAACTCTAGTCATCTTAAGCATGGCATCCCAAGAATATGCTGGAAGTAAAACATAATGGCTTGAATCGAGCCCATCATATTCTATAAACATTTTTCGTAACTGTGTCCAGACATCAGCAAGGCTAAGCACGTCAGTTTTAAGATAGATATCACAATATTCATCCAAATTCTGGCAGTTAAACTCTTTCCATACTTTTTGGGCATGCTCGTAATCCACTTGTGTGATTTTACTATTAAGAGTGCTATGAAATTCGTTGAATAAAGGATGTTTAGTTTCTAAGAATCTATTTTGTGAATCGATATAGTCATAGGGATAAACTCCTTTATGTAAAACTAAAGCTATTTGTTCTGAAGTATAGTCTTTAAAGTGCCAGCTTGTAATAGGGTGGTTGGCACCTAAATTTTTCGTAAGATTTGCCAAGCTATTATTCATAAATTGCATGCTATCTATATATTTAAGCTGGCCTACTTTCATAGACTTGTATCGCTCAAATGTTTCGGCTATGACCCTAATTTGATGAGCATTAACTGATTTTCCAACAGATTCACAAACCAAATGAGAGTTGTAGCCCCGGAAGTTATGAAAGATAACTGGAATATGAGTTTTCCATGCTTCAATCTGGAGTTTAAGATTACATGCATTGTGGGCAGATCCCCGAAACTTACCTGTAATATGGCAGTGGTCCCAGACCTTGTCGTCTATAGCAAGCTTTTCTTTACATATCCAACAGGTATCAGCTTCAACAAATATTTTTTTATCTTTTTCTGTCACAATTCGGTCATGCTTAATAGCTAAAACTTTATTAATTTCGACCAACTCCTTATCAATTCTTTGGATAAATTCTTGTGTAGCATTTTCTCCCCGATATAGGAAAGGCCCCCATATATCTCCAGTATCAATATAGTAGACTAAGTAACAAAAGCTATTAGCTTTTTGTTCAGCAAGCTTTCTCATTTGTCCTTCATATTCTTCATTGCATTTTTTATTGTCCGCCTCGAAGTCTGCTATAATTACACATGAAGCATTAATCATTCGGCTATAGTTCTTGAACTTCTCGAAGTTATTAACATCCTTGATAGGTAATTTGACTTCTTGAGTGGCCTTCCCCAAACTGAAACAGTGCTCTTGGTGATGGTCTACAGCCTTTATTGTAGAAAAACTTTGAGTGCATTTTCTACAAATATATCTTTTACCATGGTGGGTGGTATCTCCAAAAACTAGCCCATTTATATTCTTAATCCAAAGAAAGTGGTTTTTTTGTCCATACTTATTATCTTCGGATTTTGTTATATCTGTAAGAGCATGAGATCGATAATATGCTGCCTATTGTAATTTTTGCTAGCTATTACAGCTTTGGGAGTAGCTGTTTCCTCTTTCCATTCCCAGATATTGATAGAGATATCAGGATTCATTTCTTCAATCTTATTAAATATACGGGAACAAACTGGAGTAGGCATAGAAATTCCATCGAGCTTAACTTTATCTAAATAGGGCTTGTATTTTGTGGCTCAGAAGATTCGTTTAAGATGTTCTGTATATCCATCTTGATAGGCAAAATATACACCTAATGCACCTTGAAGACATTTTTCGGATAATGTATTAGTTTCTGGGTCAATTAAACCTTTATTATCTGGATTGATAGTGCATTTTGTATTGGCAAGCTTTTTGGGAGTAGGAATATAGGAACCTCTATTAGTTTGACGGTAGATATAGGATTCAATAAATATATTTTCTATTCTAAGAAGAATTTTACCAGACTTCTTTTTTAAGTATTTCTCAATTTGTATATCAATTTCTCCTACAGATTGAATTAAATATGGGTCTATATCATTTTCTGAAAGAAGAATAT